AAACCAGAAGTGGCGCTGTGGCTCAAGCGGTAGAACAGTCTCACCTTGAGCTGAAGAGCGCAGGGACAGCGCCCAGGCCCAGAGTTCAAGTCCCACAACCAACCAAAAAAAAAAAAAGCCTCACAGCCTCTCCTGCCCAGGCTGGCTTTGAACTGTGATCCTCAGATCTCAGCTTCCTGAGTAGTTAGGATGACAGGCGTGAGCCCGGCAAGCAGCATGTTTTTGAACTCACTTGCACTCTTGGTTGCGCCCAGGGATGGGGCAAGTTGCTGTCAGGTGCTGCACACTAGTTCCGAGAGCCGCGGCAGGACAGCCATCAGGGCACGCACACAGCATGGAAGCCTGGCGGCATGGCTGTGTGCGACGCTGTCACAGGGCCCTCTTGCCTTTCCAGTGCCAATGTCGTGGAGTGTACGTGCCGTGCCTGGTACAACTTATTTGCATCTCTGCGCAAGCATTCCGATGCTGCATATTCCTGTGAACAGCCTTTCCAATCATGTCTTTTGGTCTTTCATGCTAGAACATGGAACACTCAGCTAGAAGCCAGGTGTGGTAACACCTGTCATCAGGGGCTCAAAGTTGGGGGGGGGAGGAAGGTTTGGTTTACTAGTTTATTCTAGGCAAGCTGAGTTTGTGGAGTGACAAGTAGCAGGTACTAATGTGACCCTTGGGAGTGAAACTTGAAATTTGGAATTAGCTGAGGAGGAGGAGGGGAGAAGCAACAGGCAGGACAGTCAGAGCAGAGAGGAGTCACTAGAGAAAGCAGAAATGAAAACTAGACTATGTGAAGACAAAAATGAGTATCACAGGAGCGAGCATGAGGATTTCAAGGAAGCACCTGTTAGCAGATGTGCCACACCTGTGTCTAGATGTTCACTGTCTTTCTAGCTCAGGCCTGTCATCCTAGCTACTCAGAAGGCTGAGATCTGAGGATCACGGTTCAAAGCCAACCCAGGCAGTAAAGTCTGTGAGACTCTTATATCCAATGAACCATCAGAAAACCTGCAGTGGCACTGTGGCTCAAGAGGTAGAACGCTTGCCTTGAGCTGAAGAGCTCAGAGTTCAAGCCCCATGACTGACCAAAAACAAAGGGGGAAGGGTGTTAGGGAGAAGGGCGGTGACCAGAGAGACCGAGTTGTCAGAAAAGGCCTAAGAAGTGTCCACTAATAAATACTCCCGGGAAGATTAAGGTGGGGAAGGCAGTCAATGAGAGCAATGAGGAGCCTCTCTGGTGAAGAGCACATCCAGAGCCTGACACGTGTCGCCTACACAGTCTTTATTTACAGTGACGCTTGAGCAGGGTTTACCAAGGGACTCCTCTTCCCCCAATCTTAGCAGCATGGCCTGTATTTCACAGACAAAAGGAAAAACACCCCAGGGGAAGTTGTGACCTCTCCTTAGATCTCCCAAGTCTCCGTAAGTCCCCTAAGTCCCATGGTGCTCCGCTCCGGGCAGGTGCAGCAGCGGGGCGCCAGCGCCGGCAGCATGGCCGGGCAAGCCTTCAGGCTCTCACCTCACTCATGGCCTCCATAAGGCGAGCACTGTTGGTGACAGCTGTGGTCAGGAAAAGGAACCTGTACCCTGAGGAGCCAAGAAGAGTGGGAAAAGTGACCAAGAGCAGAACTCGGTGCCCATGGAAGCCGCACGGGCCCCTCCAAACCCAGTGCCTGCAGCTCACAGCACCGGCGCACAGACACGTTACTGCTAGGCCCTGAGTAACCCAGCTCGCCAGGCTCGGGGGCTCCCTGCTGGCAACACTGAGGCAGAAAGAAAGCCTTCCAGTGTGGGGGGCCTGCAGCCACCCTGTGTCCTTACCCTTCTCTCTGCCCAGGAACCGCAGGGCTGAGATCTCAGAGAACGTGCAGCCACCCAGGAACACCACCAAGATGAGGCGCAGGGACTCGCTGGAAGCCTTGTTGTCTTCCTTGGCCATGTCTGAGCAGCGAAGATTCCACGTTCACTGCCACAGAGCTAGGTGATGCATCCTGCCCACCCCCGGCCGGCAGTGCCACCCACCTGTGAACGCAAACTCGCCGCAGTTAAGCAGTCGCACCACCTCCTCCAGCCCCTGCCAGCTCCGCCGCTCCAGCACCTGGGAAGGCGTGAACGCTGGCTCAGGTCTGCCGCCAGCCAGGCCGGCAGGCCGCGGTCAGTGTTAGCACGGGCCAGGGACCGAGGGCGCAGGATCAGACGTTATTCCCACCTGCTCGATGATCCGGCAGCTCAGGGGCACGTAGGCACCGCTGAAGACGTACGCCATGTCCCGGGGCACTTTCAGGTCATACTCCCCGTCCACGCGTGGGATCTGGAGGCAGAGGTACAACATTAGCCAAGTGACGCTCAGCGCTCCAACTCCTCAGACGGTGGGGTATGAACAAAAGCAGCACAAACAATAGTTCTTATTCCAACAAGAAGGAGAACACGGGACGGTGCTGGAAAAAGGAATCCGTAACCAAGATGGCCATTTGTGTTTAATTCCCCAGTACCCCAAATGTGCTCTCTGCCCCCCACTGTGACGCTCTGAGAAGGAGGGGAAGGTCTCTCCCCGTCCCTCCACGGCGCATAGAAGCCCACACTTCCAATCCTCTGGAGTTTGGCAGGTACTTGCTACTGTGTATCTTTGTTCTTACGGTTCAACTGAACTCATGTTACAAGTCCATCAAACAAGAAATTCTCCTACCAATACAACACCACAAAGGTCTACTTATTCCGGAGGAATGGATTAGGAGAGCAATGACCTGTAGCCGCCCCTACAGCCCTGTTCCACATACCAAATTCAGCTTCTTGCTGATGGCGCGGAAGTTGCTCCTCTTGGCCAGGGAACTGAAGGCGTCGGTAATCTTTCCTGGGAACGAGAGCAGCGCAAGGAACTGTGTGAGGTGCAGCGACGTGTGGTGTTGCGGAAGCTGCTCACCTCCTCCCACTCCCCATCCCCCTCCCATCTGGGGGTCTCATCTGCCTACCACGTGTAGTCTACAGGATGATACAGGACGACCCAAGTTTCTGGGTTAAACAACGGACCTTTGCAGTCCAACGGACCTGACTAACTGAACTGAGGGACTTTGGCCAAGCCATTTAATTTCTGCCAGCCTCAGTTTCCTCATCTGTGAAAGGAGGAAAGAGAAAACTCGCCTCACCGAGTCTCCGAGAGGATTAAATGAGAATGTGCGTGCGGTGAGTGCACGCTAAGTGGCTGTCCTCACACCAGCGCTCTGCCTGTGTGGGAGAGGACAAGCTCCCGGGGGAGGGGTCGGCACCCCCTGCGCTCCCTGCTCACCGGCAGCCTTGTCGGTCACGAGCTTGCTCACTTTGCTCTCCACGGCCGTGAGCGCGTCCCCTGGGGCCTGCTCTGTCAGAAGCCCAGCTCGCCGCAGGTTGGAGAAGGTCAGCAGGTGTTCGGGGCCATAGCTCTGAAGGAAATGCAAGTCAGCTCCGTGAATGCAACCCAAGAGTCCAGCAGGGCTGGTGATTCAGTGCATGCTTACCTGCATGTACTGGGTTTTCAGAGATCGGTAATCCTTGGGAATCAAACCTGATGGTGAGGAAAACAAAGGAATAAACAGTTTATAGAAAGAAGAAAATGACCAGGTAGGTGGTTTGCGCCTGTCATCCCAGATACTCAGAAGGCTGAGAGCATGAGGACCACAGTTCTTGGCCAGGTAAGCCAGAAAAGTCTACAAGACTCCATAACCAAAATAACCCAACAAAAAGCCAGACTGAAGACATGGCTCAAGTATAGCTAGCAAGCCACGTGGAGAATGCACAAACCCCAAGTTCAAACCTTGGTACTGGCCACAAAAAATATACAGAATAAGCGAAACACAAAAACTTGTTGAAATTGTTCTGGAAAGGAGGGAAGGGAGAGTGAGAGGGGATGAGACTGATTGGGATTCATTGTAAACGTGTGGAAAATAAGCGATGAAATTCCCCTCTGTAAGCTAATACAAAAAAAAAAAAAAAATAGAATAAAGCTGGGCACAGTGGCTCACACCTGTAATCCTAGCTAATCCTAGCCACTCGGTAGACAAAGCCCTGAAGATGGAGGTACAAAACCAGTCCTGGCAGGAAAATCTTTTTCCCCTGCCAGTCCTGGGACCTGAACTCAGGATTGAGCTTCTTTGTGCTCCTTGTGCTCAGGGCTAGCACTCTACCACTTGAGCAATAGCATCACTTCTAGCTTTTTCTGGGTAGTTTATTGAGGTAAGCATCTCACAGACTTTCCTTCCAAGGCTGGCTTTGAATCACGATCCTCAGATCTCAGCCTCCTGAATAGCTAGGACTATTAGTGTGTGGCTATAACAATTTTAAAAAATTGAAAAAAAGAATAGTGACCAGTTGTCAGAATAACAGTAAAGGTGGTCAGTGGTAGAGCGCTTGCCTTGCATGCATGAGGCCCTGGGTTCAATTCCTCAGCATCACATAAGCAGAAAAAGCCAGAAGTGGTGCTGTGGCTCACATGGTAGAGTGCTAGCCTTGAGCTGAAGAGCTGAGGGACAGCGCCCAGGCCCAGAGTTCAGGCCCCACAACCGACAACAACAACAAAAAGAACAGTAAAATAAGCTACCATGAAAGAGTGAGCAATGTGTACATTAACGCCAGTGCCATCAGCTGGGCGTCACCTTAACCTCGATGAAAACAGGAGTTTAGACAGGATGTCGAGACATACCACTCGGTTCAGTACCTATGCACTCCTACATCGCAACCGCTGTTCTAGGGAGACCTGGAAGTGATCTTTTTGTAGGCTGGGTCAATAAATGACCCTGCAGCCTGCTGGTACTTCACTCCAATAAAAACCACTCTATATTAAAGGAAAAAGCGCCCATGAACAAGGAATGCAGGTGTCTGTCATTCGCAGCCCCCCTGTCCCTGGGTGCTCACCGTTCTCCGTGATGGACAAAAGGCACATGAGGCGAAGGCTCTCTATAGGTGACACCTGCAAGGAAGGAAGGGTTGGGAGGACCAAAGGCGAGTAACTCACCGGCTCTCTTCTTTCTAAACCCCACGCCTCGCCTGGGCGGCCCAGCCTGGGCAGCGGCCCCGCCTGCTCACCTGCCGGTCGATGTGCTCTTCTATGTAGTTGGTGCTCTCACGGATATTGAACCCCTCTAGCAGTGCTGCAAGAAACCAGAGGCGAGCCTGTTATGGGAGAGCAGCTAAACGACTGCACCCACATGCTAACAAATAGGTGTGTCTCCCCTCTCTTTCTCCATCTTTGGGGTAGTTAAGGGACCCAGGACTTCTAGCAGGAACCAGCAACTGCACACAGCCAGCAAGAGCTGGAAAAAGCCAGAGAACATATTTTCAGCAGGCCTGGGCTGGGAGCCCGGGGTGGGAACGGGAGGCACAGCTGAGCGGGGCTCCTAAAACTGACCGTGCTCAGTCTTGATGAGCTCCTGGAAGTCCTGCTTGGTTTTCTTCTTCATGATGGATTCGCAGGCCCCAATATCTGCAGACAGGGCAGGAAGGGAACTGACATGCTCCTGGTTCTGGAAAGGTCCCCTTTACGGGCCAGAAGAAACACCCAGAAGCGTGTCTTTGCTTTATCAGGAGAGCACGGGGCTCTCCAGGGGCAGCACTCCCCTCACCCCAGGCTGGACCTACGGAGGCTCAGCAGGCGGTGCTCCTGCTTCAGTCCCTTGAGCTCCTGAGACACGAAGTTCTTCATCTGCTTTATGTCCATGCCTCTCCGGCGCTGTGGGGACACCGCAGAAGGTCAGCACCCCGAGAAGCCATCGGTCCCGCTCAGTTGCCACCCATCCATGAGAAGACGCAGCTGCCTGTCATGTACTAAAGGGAGTACTGAGGCCAGGAGGCAGGGGGAAGGGTGTGGAGCCTTACGTCATACTGGGCCTGCAGGTTCCGGGCCTTCTGGCTCAGGAAGCCGAAGACATTGGAGAAGTGTTCGTTACGAATCTCACTGAACACCTGCAGGAGAACAAGGCTGGAAGCATTCATTACCTGTCTGCCCCCAGCCTGTCCCCGCTGGAGGCTGAGAAGAAGCCAGGAGAGAGCGCTTGGCAGTGCCAGCAGAGGTGGAAGGACAGTCGAGCTGGTAACAGGAAGTGGGTTCGAGGACACCCACGATCACGGGTGGGAAGCCCTCTCCAGCTCACCTTGTCCTCTGCATTGAGGAGCACCTTCAGGCTCTTGTCACAGGACGTGACCTCCGGGCCAAAGTCCACACTCCCTTTGAGGGCAAAGGGGACAGCTGTGAGGATCTCCACCAAGGCCTGGTCCTACTTTCTGCACTGCGGTCCAGGCCCTGGCACCGAGGCGGGTGCCCGGATGTGGAAGATGGCGGCACTCACCACACTTGATGCGGAAGGTGTCATCTACCAGGCCCTCGTAGACAACTTGGGAGCAAAGCGCTGTCACAAAGTCCATGTCTGAAACCGAGACCCCAGCCATGAAGGTCCCCAGTGTCCCCCCCGCCAGGCACCCACACTTCTGGTCGGCGTCAGGAGCCTATGTGGTCTCCACTTTCCTATTCCCATGTCTCCAGGGCCCGAGGGCGAGAGGAGAGCTGGGCATCGCTCACCTCGGTCCAGGAGAAAGATATGCCCAATCTCTGGTCTTCGGCCTTTTGCTTCGCTGTCCTCCTCTTCCTCCAGTTTCCTCCATAGCTCATATGACATCTGCAAGAGCCCAGGATAGCTTCAGCTCTACGTCCGGACCCCTGCTGTGGCCCCAGCTGCAGAAGGCAACACTCGGCCCTTGGTGCTTCATCTGGCCGCAAGGAATGGAGTCCGCGTGAACAACATGAGCTTGTTCTGCTCCCACCTGCTGCCCTCCTCAGACCTGGGCAGGAACCAGTCCAGGAAGTGACGCAGGGGACCTGGCTCGTGCCTCTTTGCTAGCCACACCAGTTCTGCTCTGGGGAACTACCGCGGCATGTGAAAGCAAGGCGAAAACAGGCTTCAGCCCATCTCAGCTGCCCTTGGACAGGAAGCCGGGTGCCAGTGGCTCATGCCTGTCGTCCTAGCTACTCAGGAAGCTGAGATCGGAGGATTGTGGTTCAAAGCCAGCCTGGGCAGAAAAGTCTGTGAGACTCCTATCTCCAGTAAACTACTCAGAAAAGGCTGGACGTGGCGCTGTGGCTCAAGTGGTACAGTACTAGTCTTGAGTGAAAAAGCTCAGGAACAGCATCTAGACGCTCAGCACAAGCCCCATAATGAGCAAAACAAAAGCAAAACAGGGGAACCAAACTTTGAGAACAGCTCTGGGAGCACACTTACCTTGGCACATCTACCAATCCCGTAGCAATTGGGAAAGGGTCCGTAGAGAGTACTGAGAAGGTGTAAGGCCTGAGCCACTGTGTTGATCCAACGTTGGTCCCCTTCCTGCAGGGACCATAAAGATCAGGATCAACCCACCTCCACTGGAGAATGGTCAGCCCTAGCAGCCTGGAGAGGAGCAGTGGAGTCTGGGGGACACTGGCCAGAGTTCCTTCTAATGGTGCTAAAGGCCGCCCTATGCAACTCAATCTAGCCTTCAATCCTCACATCCCTTCAATTATCACCATCCCTTATGGTAAGCCAGACTTGGACAGAGGTTGAGCCGTTGTTTCGAGCCCACTGGAGCCCAGCATTGTTCCTCTCTCTCCCGGACACCGAACCCCACCGGGGCCCGTGCTCACTAGGAAGTAGTCCCTGAAGAACTCTGGCAGCTCCATGCTCAGCAGGTCCATGTCAAGAGGCAGCAAAGAAAAGGCCCACTCGTCACAGCTCACATCTGCAGCAACAGAGTGAGTCAGCCTCCCGACAAGGCCCTCGGCAATGCGCCGAGCGAAGACCCACCCCAGTGGAGGGCTTGCTGCAGACCCGGTTCAGCGCTTAGCACCCAACTCTTAAAGAAACAAGTTGGGCACTGGTGGTTCCAGTCTCTAACCCTAGCTCCTCAGGGGGCTGAGATCTGGAGGGTCATGGTTCTAAGCCAGCTAGGGCAAAAAAAGTTCACTAGATTCCATCACCAAGAAACGAACACAAAGCCAGGTTAGATGCATGGCTCAAGTGGTAGAACACCACTAAGCAAGCATGAGGCCCAGAATTAAAACCCCATCAGCAAAAAAAATTTTAAAATTTAAAAAACATGCCTTTGCTGTCTGGTAATGAAAAGTGTGTAAAGAGGCTGGGAAGGTGGCTCAGTGGTAGAGTGCTTGCCTTGCAATGCATGAGGCCCTGGCCTCAATTCCTCAGCACCACAAGCCGGGGAAAAAAAAAGCTGGAAGTGGCGCTGTGGCTCAAGTGGTAGAGCACTAGCCTTGAGCTGAAGAGCTGAGGGACTGCGCCCAGGCCCAGAGTTCAAGCCCCACAACCAGACCCGAAATAAAAAAAAAAAAAAAACGAAAAAAGAAAGTGTGTGCCTGACATCCTAGCTACTCAGGAGGCTGAGATCTGAGGATCGCAGTTCAAAGCCAGCCCAGGTGCCTGGCCAGTCTGTGAGTCACTTGTTTCCAATGGGCTACCAGAAAACCACAAGTGGTGCTGTGGCTCAAAGCAGTCGTGCGCTAGCCTTGAGCGAAAACATTTAGAGACAGTGCCCAGGCCCTGAGTTCAAGCCTCACAACTGACCAAAAGGAAAAAAAAAAGTGTGTGTACAATGCAGGGTGGCACGTGGATGGTTTGCACTGCAGGCCCAGCACAGGGCTGGGGACACACTCCTTCAGTCTTCAGCAAGTACTTACTGCAATCCCCCACACACAGGGCTGGCCGGCGGGAGACAGCAGCGCGCAGAGTGGGCCTGCTCTGCCTTCTGGAGCTCCCAACCTCTTGCAGTAAGTATGCAGCACACCAATTACAACAAAATACTTAATGACATGTGCTCCAAAGAAGTAAACCAGCCAGCCAGCCCTGGAGAGAGCTGTTAAGAGTTCACGCTTAGCAAACCTGAGGCCCTGGGTTCAATCTCCAGCACAAAAGAAAAAGAAAACAGACAGCCAGAGCACAACTGACAGGGTTCTAACCATATCCGAGGGTAAAGGAAAGCCTTCCCTTAAAAGGTGACAAACGCGCTTGGAATTGGAGCTATGGTTGGGGGCAGAGTTGAAGGGTGAGGAACACTCCACTGCAGGAAGCACACATTCAAAGACCTGGGGGTCAGTTTGTCCTGAGGGAGCTCCTGGAAGGCAGGGACAGGCGAGGACAGCATCGAGCAGTCCTACTCCTGGAGGAGGCCCTACACCCACGCCCATCCTCTCCCAGGGCTGCTCCTCCCACCTCCTCCTGGGAGACCACCAGGAAGAGCAGAAGGAGCAGCTGGGATGCAGGACTGTAATTCTTCCCTTGTCCTCCCCTTCCTCCTCCCTTTCCACTCACGTTCACCTCCGCTCACCTCCATAGATTCCCTCTTCCTCCAGCACCATCTCACAAGCGTAAAACTAGAAGACAAAAGGAAATTGATCAGTAACTACTTTTTTTCCTGTTTTTTTTCTTTTTGTGGTACTGGTGATTACACTTAGGGCCTACTAATAGGCAAGTATGGTATCTGTGAGCTACATACCCAGCCCTTTGTAAATTTAAGACAAGCCTTCACTAAACTGTCCTTCGCACTTATATCTCAGACTCCTCAGTAGCTAACATTACTGGAACTACATAGATTGTCCAGAAATAAAACCACATAGCTACAGCCACCTAATTTTTGACAAAAGAGCCAAAAACATACTGGAAAAAAGATAGTCTTTTCACCAAATGGTGCTAGAAAAAGTGGTTATCCACTTGTTAGAGACTGGAACTAGACCTCTTATTTCTCACCCTGAACAAAAACCAATTCCAAATATATCCAAGGCCTCCATGTAAGACCTGGGACTTCCAGCTGACTGCAGGACAATGCGGGGACCCCGAAAGCTGAGTGTTTTTTTATTAGGACTCCAAGGGTTCAGAGGATGGGAGTGAGACCTGATTAATGGAACTGGGCACCAGCGGCTCACACCTATAATCCTAGCTGCTCAGCAGGCTCCTTCAGAGCCTAAACAATAATGCGGGAAGTAAAGCTGTGGCTGTGACTCAAGTGGCAGTGCCACAAGGGATAAAGGAGAAGGATCTCACCTTCTGAGGGCTAAAGATCACTTTGTATTTTCGAATTCGGCCAGCCAATTTGTCAGCATTGACAAGACCTATAGAGAAAAGGAACACAAGCCCGGCAGGCCAAGGATACCTGTTAGACACAAAGAAGAAGGAAATACCCCCTACAGGTGCTAGGCCACTGGCACTGTCAGTCTGGTTTTGCGGGACACGGTTTGCTATGTGCTATACGGCTTCTAACTCACAACCCTTCTTCCTCCCAGGTACTGGAATTATACATGTGCCTAACTACACCTGGCAACACTTTTCTACTAAAGGATCCTCATGGCCAAGACCCTTCCACTTTCCCCACCGTCTTCTAGATCTTGGTGATTCGCAGCACCACGCTGTACTCACTGGCAATGTAGCGCATATTCTTGATACGGGGTCTGACCAAGAAGCACAATCTAAGGGAGAGAAAGAAGGAAAGAGCGGCGATGAGGACTCAATGGGGCTGGTGACGGCAGCTCAGGGGAAACTAAACCATCCCAACTTGTTCACCACTGACTTCTTTCTCCTTGGTGGTACTGGGGACTCACACTTGCTAGGCAGTTACTCCACCAAAGCACTTTTCCTGGTGGCTAGTTTTCTGCGATAGGGCTGGCCAGACCTTTGGTCTTCTTCTTTGTGCTTCCCCAATGGCTGGTCACCAAGCCCAGGCAGTGATTAAGGGGGGTCTCATGAACTCTTTTTGCACAACTAGCGCTGAACTGTGATTCCCAGATCTTTGCCTCCCAAGTAGCTAGGATTATAAGCTTGAGTCAATGCATCTGGACCACTTGCCTTTTCTCAAAGGACCTGAACTTTTACCCTAAAAAAATTAATGCTAACTCTCTTGACCTACCAGGTCCCAACCACAAAAAATACCTTTCAATTCAAGTCCCTTTTTTGTTTTTTTGGTCGGTCATGGGGCTTGAACTCTGGGCTTGGGTGCTAGCCTTCAGCAATTCAGCTCAAGGCTACCACTCTACCGCTTGAGCCACAGCACCACTTACGGTTTTCTGGTGGTTTATTGGAGATAAGAGTCTCATGGACTTTCCTGCCGGGGCTGGCTTTCAACCGTGATCCTCAGATCTCAGCCTCCGAAAAGCTAGGATTACAGGCCTGAGCCACGGGTGCCTGGCTATTTCAAGTCCCTTTATTAGCTGGGTAGCCAACCCAGAGGTTTCTTTTCATAAAATACTTTCCAATTCAATGGATTAAAAACACACACACACACACAAACACACACACACTAGCCTGGGCACCTGTGGCTCACGCCTATAATCCCAGCTATTCAGGAGGCTAACATCTGAGGATCACGGTTCAAAGCCAGCCCAGGCAGAAAAGTCCATGAGACTCTTATCTTCAATAAACCACTAGAAAACCAGAAGTGGTGCTGTGGCTCAAGCAGTAGAGTATTCGCCTTGAGCTGAAGGGCATAGGGACAGCGCCCAAGCCCAGAGTTCAAGCCATGTGACCAACCAAAAAAAAAAAAAAATTACACTCAACCTGGGCAGGTGTGGCTCATATGTGTAATCTTAGCTCAGATCTCAGTGGGGATCCATTTCAGGCAAACAATTCAAGAGATTCTTATCTCCAATTAGCAAGTAAAAATCTGGAACTGGAGTTGTGGCTCAAGTAGTTCAAGCATTAGCCCAACAGGAGGTTAAGAGCTTCAGAGGCTAGAGTTCTTGTCTTAGTACTGATACTAAGGGGGAAAAAATCTCTCTCTCTCTCACACACACACACACACAGTCAAACAGGCCATTTATCAACAGGAGGTCAGCATCGTTTTTTCTTGGTCATTTGTGGGACTTGAATTCGAGGCCTGGGAGCTGTCCTTGAGCTTTTCAGATGAAGACAGGTGTTCTTCCACTTTGAGCCACAGCTCCACTTCTGGTTTTCTGGTGGTTAATTAGAGCTAAGAGTCTCACTGATTTTCTGCCTGGGGTTGGCTTTGAACCACAATACTCAGATCTCAGCCTCCTGAATAGCTAGGATTATAGGTGTGAACCACTGGTGCCTGGCTCAGTGAAAAATTCTTTATATTCATGTATGAAAATAGAACAGTGGAATCTGTGGAAACTGTTTTGAGAAAAAAGGGAAGTGGGATTATAAAAAAAAGAGTAATGGAAGATTCATTCTGAGCTTAAACAACGGTGCAGGCACGAAATTGTAGAAGTTCAAGAAAGAAGTGAACCACACCACCCGCCAGATCAGACCCTGAGGCCTGATCTCAGCCAGGGCCTGCCTCCAGCTCAGAGGCCAAACAGACTCTCCCAGATACTCACTGTTCACTGGAGCTGAGGGCTGGCTTGCTCTCCACCTTATACAGCTTGTCTACCTCATGTTGCTACAGAAAGAATCCAAAAAACAGTGGACAAGAGGTCATTAAAGGTATAAAGCAGCTGGGCGCCGGTGGCTCAGGCCTGTAATCCTAGCTACTCAGGAGGCTGAGATCTAAGGATCTCGGTTCAAAGCCAGCCCAGGCAGGAAAGTCCATGAGACTCTTATCTCCAATAAATCACTAGAAAACCAGAAGTGGCGCTGTGGCTCAAGCGGTAGAGCGCTCGCCTTGAGCTGAAGAGCTGAGGGA